TGCCCAAGAGCCTGGGGCCTATAATGAAATTAGTCGATCGCTGGATTCTCTGTTCTCCATAATATATTGGGTGTGAAAGGAAGCAGTTAGGCTTAGGCATGGAAGCTTTGGGAACAGAGGTATCAATTATAATGAGCTCCAGATCCCAGCTGGAGTTAAGAGTCGTGCCTTATGTGCAAAGATTTTCTTTAATTTATCAAAATCTGGATAATTGGTCACCTATTTGTTGAAATATGCCTGGCCATACTTTCATTTCTCATGTTTTGGGTCTTTTTTGCTTATGGTGTATCGAATTTCAGTGCCACCAAATCTGTTAGTTCTTAAAGAACCTATTCTACATAATAGTAAAGATGTAGCCAGTTAGGGTTTTGGATCCGTGGAAGTAAAGGTTCGGCCTGAACCACGTAAATATTCTCTCTCCCTTCTATATTTCCACAAATTCTAACATGGTATCAGAGCAAGGTTAAAAAGTAAGCGGTCATGCAGAGCAAGGTTAAAAAGTAAGCGGTCATGCAGAGCAAGGGAAGAGGAAACAACCGCAACAACTGTGGAGCAATTGAAGCAGACTGCGATGCTGTGGCTCGTTGGTTTCAAAGAGGCCTGTTGCTTTCACCGGCTCCTCTTCTTTCGTAGGTCAAGTACTTTGGTGGCCAAGACTGGCAAGTGTGTCGCTTTGAACGGATTGATTTTCTTAGGAAGCATATGGCTTGTTCTTTCGCTTGTAACACAAATACTATTGTGGATCTTGCCTTATCAATGGCAACATGATGATTTTGAAGCAGGAAAAGATATTTACAAATATTACTCTTTTCATTAGTCGTGGGTCATGACGATGCGGCCACAGGAGTAGCTTTGGATTTCCCCTGGTTTTTTCAATTTGGAGGACACAATTTCTCTTGAAATAGGTCTCTCAAAAGGATTTGAGAAGGAAACTATTATTGGATCGTGAGGCACCGATTTTGTCGTGAGGCATCGAATAGTCAGCGCGTCGCTAGCGTGAGATGTGAGGGTTTGAATAAGAGGATCGAAACTATGTAGAGAGAGACCTAAGATGATCGAATTATCGAAACTATGAAGAGAGAGATTCATTCTTTATGTCATGACTCATGAGCTTATCCGTTTTCGTTTGTGGTGGTTTTTAGAGAGACAAAGAGAGAGAGAGAGAGAGAGAGAGAGATTGATTCGGGAGTTTATACTTAAAAAGAAAAAAAAAAAAATTTTGAAAAACTAGAGAAGAAAAAAAAAAAAGTAAAAATAAAAATGGGTGGTATTTTTTAAAGATGTGGGCTATTGTCTAGAAGCCCAATTTCATTGGTATTTTTTTTATATGATTGTACTCAAAAGAGAAAAAGAAAAAAACAAAGTGTATTTTGCAAGTGGGGTATTTCTTCGCAGCCACACCCAACTTGAGGGAGAGCGTATAGGAGAGTTGGAGATGAGATGAAGATGGAGATGAGATGAGTAGAGATGAAGTTAGCATCTCTAATATAACCGCTAAAGAAAATCCAGATTCTGGCTTAGTCCAACTACTATGCAAAGGGATGTTATGGTCATATTGATTTCAGAGTTCTAGTCTCCAGATGAAGAGATGAAGATGATCGAATTTCTCGATCGAAGTCGATGATCAAGAGTTCCGGCTCCAGATGAAGAGATAAAGATGATCGAATTTCTCGATTTTTGTTGATGATCAAGTTTTTCGTTTCTTGATCTTGTTTGAAGATGGAGTTTTTCGTTACTCCATCCTGTGTGATAACCGTCGAGTTTTTCGTTACTCGATCTCGGATGTTACGAAAAGAGAAAAAGAAAAATCATTTTCTTTTAGAGAGAAAAAGCCTCTAGAAAAAAGAGAAGCTTCTAAAGAGAGAGAAGCCTCTAAAGAGAGAGATCTTCAGATAAGAAAGTAGAGAGCCCAATAAATGTTGTTTCTTGGAAGACCCTAGAGACAAAAAGTCTCTAGAAAAAAGTAGAGAGCTCAAGAAAGGTTGTTTATAGGAAGACCCTGGTAACATGTGATTTTTTTTGGTAACTTAGTATTGTTCAAACTCGAGGTGCTTTGTATCAAATCATCTTGAATTTGAGTAGGAGTATTGAGATATAGATATCTTGGGTTCATATTGATATACATCATTACAGATGAATATGTATATATCTCTTGATAAAGTTAGATATTTAGAAGATAGAGACCAAGTTACTTCATCAAGTTATCATATTATAATTATCTATTCTAATTGTGTGATTTTCCTCTATATATAAACGTATTTTTTGATATAAAGATTCATCCAATATAATGAAGATATAACCGGTTTGGAAGTAAGGGTTCGGCTTGAACCATGTAAATATTTTATTTTCCTTCTATGTTCCCACAAATTCTAACATAAATTCTAACATTTGGGAGATTAAAAGTACCTAACGGAATGGTGCCCAAGTGTGTTGGGTTTGATCTAAATGGTTCAGTAAAGTTCACTTATTTGTTATCACCTAATATATGTTAAACTTCTCAGCAAGGATACTCTTATGGTGTTGTTGAGTCTATGCAGTCAGCCTGCATATTCTAGAAATACGGGTTTGGCATTAAATATATATTTTAAATATAATTTGATCTTTTTTTTTTTAAAGGATGATGAATATGATTTTTTTATTTTTGAAAATTACAAATAACAATTATATTAAAAAAACATTTAGACCGTTAGATATAATTGTTTTTAGATGAACGGACCAACTTTTTACATCCATATTTAAGATTAATATTTTATACATTTGGACCGCATATTGTAGAAATGCTGTCCCGCCCGCATGAAACAAATTTCCTCTATGGCTGCTAGACGACACACGAGGTATACAAACAACGTGACACATGCTGGTGACATGTGTTTCCGTATTACAGAGGGATATGTAACTCCAGGAGTCTCATTTCGAGAGAACCAAACGGACCCTTAATATCAGTCGAATCTCTATAGAGAGAGAAAATTGATTTAAAAAACAAATTTGACGGTCTTTACACCAAATAACGAGAATAATGCATGTATGGCCCTGGCCACACATGCCACATGCAAAGAAATTTTTCATATTCAACCTGTCACCCAACAGATGTTAGAGAGATAAGCACTAAAATACTATAAAAAGAAGTAATGTTGGAGAGATAAACACTAAAATACTAAAAAAGAAGTATTTTATAGCAGTTGGAACCTCGAAATCTTCAGGGAGAGAGAGAAAGACAGGGAGAGAGAGAGATTTCTAAGGATATATAAGTCAGCTAATATCATTCTCTCAGGAGAGAGAAGAAGAAGATGATAATAATCTTTTTAAAGAAAATAATCTTTTTTTTTAAGAAAATGATCTTTTTTAAAAAAAAAAAAATTTCTTAAAAGAAAATAAAGAAAACATTATGTTATAAAACTTTATTTTTACTACTTAAGTAGATTCATATAAAATCTGTCGGTTAAAACTAACCAATAAGCCACTCTAATGGATCTGATAGGAAATTGCAGTAGTATTCTATTTAATGTTTAAATTATTGGGTGACCACCAAAACTTGCCAAAACCGGAACTGCTTTATACCTTATGATCGTATAATGTAGAAATGTAGTCCAGCTTGCATGAAACAATTTTCTTTTAAAAAATTGCAAAGTATTATCATAAGGACCTAGTTTCTATGCGGCCAAGCCCACATATGTAGAAATGCGGGCTTATTAATAAATCTATTTTTGAGATGGATTTTTGGACTTAATTTTTAAATACATGTAATCTCTAACATGAAGATCATGAATATGAAAAATAAGTAAATTTTAAAAACTAAAAATAATAATTTTATTAAGAAAACATTTGGACCGTTAATTTATATTGTTTTTAGATGGAACACCTACTTGCATCCATATTTAAGATGAATGCTTTACACTTTTTGGACCGCATATGTAGTCATGCAGTCCAGCTCGCATGATACAATTTTTCTTATCGTAAGGACCCGGTTTCTATACGGCCAAGCTTGCATATGTAGAAATGTGGACTTATTAATAAATCTATTTTTGAGATGGATTTTTGGACTTAATTTTTAAAGACAATTTAATCTCTAACACAGAGACCATGAATATGAAAAATAAGTAAATTTTAAAAACTAAAAATAATAATTCTAGTAAGAAAATATTTTGGAAGACATGACAACAAAATCATTAACAATATGATTAAAATAACACTAAAAGAATATATATAGTCATTTTCTAAAAATAATAATAATAATTGGGAGTCAGTAATTCGCTAGGGCAATCATTTCATTCAACCGTTGTATAGTAATATGATGCAACAATCTTAGAAAACCATCTTATGGTCATTTGTTTGATCCAAATTTTGAAAAATGCACTATTTTCATTCTAATGAACAATAAAAAAAAAAAGAAAAAATTGAAAACACAACTTAAAAAGTATTTTTTTAGCCCAATTAACATAGGCCGTTCATTTTGGTGAGATACTTAAATCTAGGCTTTAGAAGGAATTTTTTATTTCTAATTTTTTTGGATGGCTTTATTATCATTAGATGAACAATGTTAAGAAAGAAAAAAGTAAATTTTGAGTTTATAACCGCTAAGATCTTGAAATTCACAAAATGAATGGTCTACATTTGTTTTTGGAGGTGACTCATTTTGACCATATCTAGAGCCAAAATCGAATTTTTTGTTTTTTTTTTTGGATTGATTATTGAGATGAAGAGAGTATATGTGTAAAATTTAAAATTATATAAATACCACAAACATGATTTTTTACAAGTGTCGTTGCATTATACTATAATACAACCGTACCGTTTGAATCCTTGCTCAATTCAATAATTTTACAAAATAAAAAACCACGAGCGAACGACTTTTGGAATCTCTTTAGAGAGAGAAAGTTGGTTGATTGGTGGAAAGTGGAATCTTTTTAGAGAGAGAAAGATGAGTTTTAAAAACAAAATTGGCGTAGTGTTACTTACACCAAATGCGGACAACTTTACCCAAATCAAACAAGTCAGCCATTGAATTTAGTAGAGAGAGACACAAAAATACTATTAAATGAAGAGTTTTATAGTAGTATACTGACCTCTTCCAAGCTAGCCGCCTGGGAGGCTTGCCATCTTCAATGGAACACAGTTTTTCCTTTTAAATACAAGATATCATTAGTTGACCAGAAGATATCTGAATTTAAGAGAGAGAGAGACAGAGGGAGGTTTCTGAGGATATGTAATTTAGCTATCATATTTTCAGGAGAGAGAAGAAGAAGAAGAAAAATGAAGCAGAAGTTGGTATTTGCAGTGAATGGGGAGAAGAAAGAGCTCTCAAATGTAGACCCTTGTACGACTTTGTTAGATTTTCTGAGGACCCAAACACCATACAGAGCACCCAAACTGGGGTGTGGAGAAGGTACATCTTTTGCTTTAATTTTAATCACTCATGGCTTCTCTCTATCTCTCAACTTTGGCTTATGAATTTTAGTTTGGGAAATTAATGAATTGTCTGATGTTTTTATTCTGGAGAATTCAAGTAGTTGTTGTCTCTCTCTCTCCCCATTAACTTTTGCTTATGGATTTTAGTTGGGGAACTCAAAGAATTGTGAATGATGATTTTTAGTCTGGAGAATTGAAGTAGTTGACTTTCGATCATCGAACTACTATTCTCGTAGTTGATTTTGGATCATCGAACCACTCTCGTAGCTTTTGAGTTATATCCTCTAATCTTTTGCTTGAGTTTTTTTTTTTTTATGGGATTTATGATGCCTTTCATCGAAGCAAGGTTATAAAAAACGGATTGACTTGGATCGTCCACCCCAAACCCGTGCCGTATCAAAACAATTCAGATCGAAGAATTGGGCAGATCGAAAAATTTTGCTCAAAAAAAATTTAAAAATCTGTAAAAATAGTTTTATTTTTTTTTTGTTTCTAAAAAAAATTGGGAGTGATGCATTATGTACTTTTATTATTTTTTAAAAATACGTGAATACTTAGATGTTTTTTTGTCTGAATTTCTATTAATCATTTATCCATATCATTGAAAAAAAACAACTTATAATAATTAATGATATAAATACAAAATCCAAAATGGAGTATACATCAACTAAAATATAATTTAATACCAAAATGAAAGGCATTGTTGTTCTTCCTCTTCAACATGTTGATGCATCTCATTGAATTCTCTTGACAATTTATTGAGCTTGGTGCCGACCTAACTATACCCATGTCCCCCACGGTTGGGGAACTGCTGCTCTCCTTGTTCGAAGTTCCCAAGGCTTGTCCATCCCTTGTGATGGCCCCCACTCTCTTGCTCACCTCCATACTCTTGATTGCGCCTTCCCTCTTGCTGCTGGATCTCGGACTGCATATATTCTGGTTGGGATACGGTTGCTTTAGAATAATAATATCTCTCATTTCCTCCCATACCCACTTCCCGCTTTCCTTCAACAGGTATAGCACCGTCTACATCTTCAATAACTTGCTCAATTGTCGGTGGGGAGCCCACTTCTGCTCCCCCTCCTCCTCCTTGCTCATGAACATCTTCTTCACATTCCTCACCGATTACCTTGAAGAATGCTGGAGCTCTGCATCCACCAACCACTGATTGGCTATATTTGTGATAAATATCGCATCTAATTCGATCGAGTTGTAATCATCAATGTTCCTATCTAGATATCGTTATCAGAGCTTCGAATTGTAATGAACGAAAACAAGCTTATAAAGCCTCTTGGAAGTCGGCCAATTTCGTCTAGGAGTGTGTATCCACTAGAAGGTACTCCAATTCTGCTCATAACTAGTAGCGAAACATGTTTGGGATAACACTTTAATTACCGTCATTTTTAAGTGAGGTGTGTCTCCATCATGACATTCCCACCATTCAGCTAAAATGAGATGTAAAGTACGTTGTAAGAAAGAGGTGAAATATTCCATAAGGAAAATTATATAAAAGAAGACATAATGACATACTAGATTACTCGGATCCATCATACTTTGAGAAGTCGTGACAAGTCTTGTTGCAAATGAGCATTCCACTTCCATACACATAGACATCTACGAAAGATATTATTCCTTAGTACTTTAATTATGTGTCAAGTGCATAAGTCAATGGAATTTTACTAGGCTACAACAACTGTTAAATGCTACTTCACTCAGTGCCGCTAATTGATGTCAACGGTTCCTCTCGAACATCTCAATAATATATTTCACCCCTTCCAAATCCTTATTAGGAACGATAGGTACCGAGTAGAAATAATTGGGGTTGAAGTAGAAACCTATACAATACAAAGATGAAGAAACCATTTAAATTGACATTGATAAAATATTTTAACTAATTTTTTTAAGCATATAAATAGACATTTTATCTGCATAGTAGATCTAGTGGCCTAGTTGATTTATCCACCTTATGTCTATAATATCTATCAATGTAGAAGAAAAACTGCACTACTCCTCAATAGATCTCTTCGCCTCCCTATCCGTTCATAGAGGATCCCCATGGTGGATTTCTTGTCACCATCAATCATTCTTAAATAGTGTGACTAAGTGAGTGCTTGTGAAATCGATGTGGGTACACCTAAACCAGAATCTTGTATTGGAGATCATGTCCTCAACATTTCTTCCCTCACGGAGCACTTTACAAGTTTTTCCTTTGTCCACTCCTCATTAACGAACATCTTCTTTAATGCAACTTTCAAATGTACAATAGAGTTCATAGCCAAGTGGTTTGTCGTGAAGCAGGTAATAGCGGGTCTAATTAACTCCTTGTCAGTATTTAGTCTCATCAAATAAAATGATCATGGAGTGGTTACAGATAAGTTATATGATCAGCCTTGCCGATGTGAGTGTCTTTCACATTTTTGAGCCCGTCAATCTTTTCCAATATGAGATCAATACAATGGGCAACACATGGAATCCAAATCAAATGTTCCTTTTTTTCTATCAACTTTGACCCTGTTGAAACACAAGTCCTGACATTTTCTATAACAACTTGGACCACATGCTTCTCTCCGACCTCCTTGACTATCTAATCCAATAATTATGCAATGGATTTTGCAATCCAATAATCATGCAATGGATTTTGCTTCCTTTTTCACTGCAGTGACCACTCTATTGGACAAGAAAATCATACCACGTAGACAATAAACAGAAAAGTTTAGGTAGCCTTTCTGATTGTCTTTGTCCCACTAACTGTCATTCATGATGGTGACACCCATTCTCGGCTAACTCTCTTTAAGTTCCCCAATCCATTTCTAAGTATCGTCTGCCTGTACATCCAAAATTGCCCCACTAAGCTCGTATGTTTAGGTGGCTTTACCCTAAACCTTGCTTTCTGAATTTCAGCTATCATAGAGGCATAATATGGGCTGTTGGCTACATTGAAGGCGATCATTTGATCATGCCACCATTTCCCTATGTGTCTTGCCATTAAATTTTTTGTACCTTTGATCATGCCTTTGAAGGTCATCTGTTGCGATTTAGGCTTTAAGGCGAATGGATCAATACAACCCTCAACCATTAGCCACACCGATCTACTAGATGCTCCTCTCATACTAGACAAGCTAGGAGTACTCTCCTCTACTTTTGAAGTGTGGGATGAAGTTGCCTAGACTACCCCTCTATAGCAGTTGAATTGGCATCAGGTGCCCGTCTGCTGGGCCCTCCATACATACTTGGGGCGAGCCTGCCATACATATTCAGGGTGGGCCCAATATACATGCTCAGGCTGAGGCCTCCATACATGCTTGGGCCGAGCCATTCATACATGCTTACGTCAAGCCCTCCATACATGTTTGGGTTGGGCCCTCCATACATGCCTATTCCGTAACCACTATGAGTAGCCATCCCGCTCTCCTGCCAGTGTACTTTCAAGTTGGCTCTTATTGCAAGCTTTGTGTCATGGTAGAATTACTAGTCTAGATCCACCCCACTTGATGACAAATATAGGCTGACGATCTCCTCATCAATCTTCTCTTTTGCTATCTTCTTAGCTTTATAAACTTTAAGGAGAGCCGTCATCTGTTTCCTAACATTAGCATGTACAATATTGCACATAGTGACCTTTCCCCTAATCTCTACCAAACACTACTTGAACCGCTTTATTCCATGAGTTGTGACTGTTTGAAAATAATTATAAACGATTATATCTTTCGTGTTTGGATCAACTCTGACCCTATGATGCCATGAAAGGTCACCCTTAGATTTGGATAAATTAATAACTATTGAGTATACAAATGGTCATAAAATCATACTCAATTTTCGACAATAATATTGATGTGCCCCCTTATAATAAAGCTTGCAACTAATAGGAATTTTAGAAAAAACACGCTACTAATGTAAGGAAATATATTGTCTACAATATACAAATATGCTTATTGTCTCTCCTAAAATGGAGTACACGCTTGCACATTAATGCATCTAAGCAAATGAAGTTCATTAAAAAAAAATGATCTAATATACTTTATGAAATTAAAAAAATTCATCACAACAAAAGTGCATAAAAAATCTTATAGAAAAAAGATAATAAAAAATACTACCGTGTTTTCCAATTTAAAGAAAAAAGAATAACTTGCATAAAAAATAAATATCCTTTAGAACAATAAAAAAAATTTCAAAATAAGTCAACACACATATTACATAAAAGCTTCAATTATCTTTCAAACACACCAAATTACAGTAAAAATGGTTCGATATCGAAGATTAAATCGATATATTGAAGCGTTGTCAATACTTTCATTATGTTGTAAAAATATATGAGTACTAAGATGTTGTTTTCATGTTAGGATGTCAGTTAATCATTCAATCACTAAAAAAAAAAGAGAGTTTACAATCATGAAGTGTGTGAACACAAAGCTCAAAATGGAGCATATAACAACCAAAATATATTTGAAGATGTTACAACCTTTGCTTTATACCCATTGGAAGAAATAGGCGAACATTTGAAGATGTTCTTATAATTTCCAAAGTAATTAATAAAGTGGATTTCATAATTAAATTCATAATTAAATAACAAAAGATTAGTAATAGAGAGCTAATTTATAATTGAATCCATCTTATTTGTAATAGAGAGCTAATTTATAGAACTATCATGCACATAAAAAAAAAAAAGGAAAAAAAACAAAAATTGTATCAAGGATTGAGAACAGATTATGGACAAGGGAATTCTTTTGCTTTTTTAATCAGAACAATGGCCAAATATTATCTAGTAATCCAAATGTCTTATTTGCATTATTCTAGAATTTTTTATTTTCATCTGAATCACCCATCAAAGAGATATTCTATTAGAAAAATAGGAGAAAAATTGAACTAAAGTTAAATAGAAAAAAATATAGAAAGATCAAATATAAACAGACCATCGCATTCATCATGAAACAAAAAAAAAGAAAAAGAACATGCTGAATTATTTAAAAGAAATGAAAA